GCCATCTTGTTAAGAAGTGCGATCAATGCCAGCGGTTCGCGAACATCCGCGCGGCACCCTCTCAACGAGCTGGTTACTATGTCAAGCCCCTGCCTTTTCCATGTGGGATCGCCCTTATCGGCCCCCATCCTTGGAAAGGGAGGGTCAAGTACGCCGTAGTCGCGGTGGATTCTTTACAAACTGGGTGTCGAAGCCGAGCACTGGCCGCTTACGACCAGGAAGTTAAAAGACTTCGTTTTCAAGACATAGTGTGCCGCTACGGAATTCCCCACACCCTCATTTCAGTAATGGAAAGCAATTCGATAATGAGAGTTAAGCAGTTCTGCAACGATCTGGGCACCACAAGAAATTATTGCCTCAGTCGCCAGGCCGCAAGCGAATGCCCAGTTGAAGTCTCAACAAGACCATCAAGCACACTCTGAAGGCCAAGCTCGAGCCCAAGGGAAATTGGGCTGACGACCTCCCCGAAGTTTTGGCATACAGGAACAACTCCAAGGACCTCCACCTCGGAAACCCCGTTTTCATTAGCATATGGCTGTGAAGCCATATCCCTTGTCGAGGTCGGGCACGTTCTCTTCGAGGGACCTGTACAACGAGGACGACAACGAAGCACTTTTGAGAGCAAGTTTTGGATCTAATTGAAGAACGTCAGCAAGGCTTCGCTAAATAGCAGCCTACCAGCAGCGAGCAAAAGGTTTCTTTTGACTCGAAGGTGAAGCGAAGAGACTTCCAGTGTCGGAGACCTGGTGCTAAAGGAAGTTCTCCTCGGGGCCAGAGAACCAGTGTGGGGGTGCTAGGGCCTAACTGGAAGGCCCATACCATCGACAAAGTGATCAGACCAGGGAGCTACCACTCCAGAGATTGAACGGCTCCAAGGTTACCCGAGCGTTGGAACGCCGAGCACCTTCGGCCATACTATCAGTAATCCAAACTCAGCTCGTGTGGTTTTTGATATTTCTTTTTTCGAGCATTACTTTGTTTTACTTAAAAGGCATTCGATGTTTTCTGTTCGCATGTCAAAATTATAATGTAATCGCTATATTGGACCACAATTGTAAATAGTGCATATTATAAAAAGTAAACTTCAATTGCAAAAAGTCATATACAAAAGTTTGACCCGAGTACAGAAAGAGCGACTCCCTAAACGCTAAGGCTGGTCGGGAAGATCCTTCGAGCTGGAGCCGCCAGCCTGGTCGGCCCCCTGGTCGGGTTCCTGGGCGGCCGCGGCAGCCTGGTCTTCCTTGGCCATGGTCCGCAAGGTCGCCTGCCAGAGGTTCGGGAGGTCGGAAAAGTCCAAGTCAGGATTCTTTGCGCGAAGGACGTAGATGGACCCGATCGCCCAGTCCGCGGCCTTCTCCTCCAACCCCCCAGCCTGATTCTGCATCTCCGCAGTTAGTGCAGCGACCCTCTCCCGACTCTCTTGAAGTTCGGCATCAAGAGCCAGCCTTTCCTGTTCAAAGGCCCCATTAGCTTCTTCAGCTCGCTGAGCCCGTTCGAAAGTCGCCCGCAGTTCTTGGTCCTTTTCGCTGACCTCCTTGGTGAGACGGGCGGTCGTCCTCTGAAGCTCTTTGTTCTCTTCTGCACGACGGTCGAGCTCAGCCTTCTGGAAATCCACTTATCGCAGGGCGGCATCCTTTTGGTGCAGATACCTGTCCGCCGCTTCGAACGCTTGTGCTCTTTCAGCCTCGACGGACTCTAAGCTCTGCTTCAGCTTCGCGACCTCCTCTTCGAGGTCGCTAGTTCCCTTTGCGTCTCCCAGACGCGTCTTCTCCATGGACATCCTCATCGCAAGTAATCCCTGCGAGCAGAATATCGTTTAGAAACAAATCGGATTGGAATTTCCAAGAACGGTCAATTTACCTTGCTCAGATGCTGAAACGACGTAGCCAGCAGGTCGTCGCCCGTATCTGCAAATTCATTGTATGACTCCGATAACTCGCAATCGAGCAGGCCATAAACGATCGGCTGCAGGTACTCGGGCAGACTCCCCAATGAATCTAGAACAGGTGCGTCCGTTGCACCTGCCTCGCTCACAGGCTCCTTACCCGACCTCCGGGACCCCTGACGCGACCTAAGAGGCTCTTCCTCAGATTCGGTCTCCGACTCGTCAGGCTGAATTTGCTTTCTCTTCTTTGACTTCTGGGCCGGAGCCTTTCGCTTAGGGCGAGTAGTCGGTGCCTGAGCAGCCTGTCCCGACCTGGTTGCCCCTTGCGCAGCAGGCCGGGGCTGGGGAGCCGGGACTGTTCGCACCGGCTGTGCCGGGACAGCACGAGCAGCGTCAGCCTCCCTCTCTTCCCTCGATCGAGGAAAGACAAACGGTGCTCGACGGGACTGCCCGGACTCCTTTGGGGGCATCGTTCCTGCACTCGAGGTCGTTAGTAAACGAAATCATTTAACGACCAGAAAGAAACCAGTAACTTACCTTCAAGCGGTTCTAAAGATGCCCGGTCGCTGAAAAAACCGTACTTCCGCAAGTTCGCGGTTGTTACGAGCTTCCTCGCGTCGCGACTATCTTCGTCTAATACTCCGAAATTTACGAGCCTATCCGGGTCAGCGAGTAGCGACTGATGGGTCGTTCTGTTAACTGTAAAACACATCAGGTCATTATTATGGATCAGACGAGCAGATAATAGACTCAATAAGAAAACCTACTTGGTTCTTGAAAACGGCAATAGCCGTTGTACATGAAAAAGAAGAACTTTGACTCGTAGGCCCCCGCATTGCTGGGGTAATTATGTATCCCCGCGGTAATGGTAGGTCGCCGAGATAGGTAGTATGAGTCCTTATCCCTACTCTTCTTAAGGTAGTAGGCGACACCGAGCTCTACCGCAGTTGGCTCCCCTAAGCCGCTCTCGCAGCACGCGATGTACATCGCGACAGCGATGACATACGCGTTTGGCGTCAATTGCATCGGTGCGATCCCGAAATGATCCAGGACCGACCTGATGAAAGGATGGAAGGGAATCCTCCCCCCACCCTTGAAGATCTCCTCTGAGATCGCGGCGAGGCCAGTGTCTGGGCGCCGCGACGGTCTGGTATGGTCGAGGAACACTTCTGCGCGAATATCGTACTGCGTCTTTATTCTATTATACTCCTCGGAAGTAAGAACCGAGTAAACGTCAAGGGCTGCGTCCTCGGGGACTTCCCGCGAGGACGAGCTGGCTCCTTCCTCGGGTCTGGATGTGGACGGTTCCATTCCAGTCTGCAACATCGACAGACACGGTCATTAGGGCCTTCGTGTTCGTCCCGAGTGTTGACAGGACGCCTAAAAATCTATCAACGACTCGAGCCGCCGTCCACGGCTCGAATCCAAGGGCGGCGTCGTGTCTCCGGTGAAACGCCGAGAGACCCAACGCCACTATTCCACCAACAAACAAAACAAAAAAAAAAAAAAGGAGGGAAAGAAAAGGAAGAAGGAAAACCTTACTCTCTGAGACGTGAGGCTGATGCCGAAATCCGTTCAGATTGCCTGAAAAATGCCGATCGGACGAAAGTTGCTTCTGGCGTGCGAAGGTTTTCTGTTTGAAGCGAAAAAAAGTTTCGGTGGCTTCATCAGAAAAGTAAGTTTTTATATGGGGATTGCGAATCGACGGTTACCACCCTTTGGAGCTGAAACGACAGCCCACTCTCTCTCTCCCCGCATTAAATGCGCCCCACGTCGCATTAACTGACGCAGTAATGGCCCTCGTTTCGGTTACGTTGTGCCACTAACATTGCCAAACGGTGCCAGCTCAGCACGCAGAGCATTTAATGTGCCTGACATGCTGTAGCGCGCGCAGACCGCATGGCAGCGTGAAACCAGGTTCGTTGAACCTGCACAGAGGAGCGCCCCTCATATCCAGGTTGCTAAGGTGGAGATTGCCAGGTCGCTCTGACTGAGGACTGCATGAGGTCGTGTTCGCCAGAGTCCTGTACCGAGCTCTTCCCGTTCAGGTCGGGGCGAGTAAGCTTCGGCGTAACTTAGTTTCCAAGGTCCGACCTTCGAACCTTAAAAACTAGGGGGCTTCTGTTATGCCTAAGAAAATAAAGGGCTGACGTGGGAAGAGTCACGTGAAGGGCGACCTGCTCCCGTCAGAGCAACACGCACACGTCAGACCTGCCAAGTGATGTGGAGCCCACACGCGTCCTTTCTCCTGCCACAAGTCGTGCGATGTCAGCTTGGAAAAAGGGAAATGGGACATAAAGCCTGATTATACACTGACAATCACACCAAACCACGGATTTAGCAATGATTATACATTTCAGTTCAGTATAAAATAGGGAAGACCCCTTCATTAAGGGGATTCGGCCATTTTACATACGANGAGATAGGTAGTACGAGTCCTTGTCCCTACTCTTCTTAAGGTAGTAGGCGACACCGAGCTCTACCGCCGTTGGCTCTCCCAAGTCGCTCTCGCAGCACGCGATGTACATCGCGACAGCGATGACATACGCGTTTGGCGTCAGTTGCATCGGTGCGATCCCGAAATGATCCAGGACCGACCTGATGAAAGGATGGAAGGGAATCCTCCCTCCACCCTTGAAGATCTCCTCTGAGATCGCGGCGAGGCCATTGTCTGGGCACCGTGACGATCTGGTATGGTCGAGGAACACCTCTGCGCGAATATCATACTGCGTCTTTATTCTATCAAACTCCTCGGAAGTAAGAACCGAGTAGACATCAAGGGCTGCGTCCTCGGGGACTTCCCGCGAGGACGAGCTGGCTCCTTCCTCGGGTCTTGATGTTGACGGTTCCATTCCAGTCTGCAACATCGACAGACACGGTCATTAGGGCCTTTGTGTTCGTCCCGAGTAATGGTATGAAACGTCTTAGAATCTATGGGAGACTCGAGCCGCCATCCACGACCCGAATCCAATGACGGCGTCGCGTCTCCGGTGAAACGCCGAAAGACCCAACGCCATTACCCAACCAAACCAGTGCAAAAAAAAAAAGGAAGGGAAAAAGAACCTTACTCTCTGGGATGCGAAGCTAAGGCCGAAGTTCGTCTAGGTTGCCTGAAATGCGCCGGCCGAAAGAAAATAGTCTCTGGTGCGTGAAGGTTAATCACTTGAAGCGAAAGAAATTTCAGTGGCCTCATCAGAAAAATGGCTAGTTTTTATATGGATTGCGAATCGACGGTTATCACCCTTTGAAACTGAAACGACAGCCCACTCTCTCTCTCCGCATTAAATGCGCCCCACGTCGCATTAAATGACGCGATAATGGTCGTCGTTTCGGTTACGCTGCTCCACTAACGCTGCCAAACGGTGCCAGCTCAGCACGCGGGGCATTTAATGTGCCTGACAAGCTTTATCGCGCACAGACCGCGTGACAGCATGAAACCAGGTTCGTTGAATTTGTACAGAGGAGCGCCCCTCATATCCAGGTCGCTAAGGTGGAGATTGTCAGGTCGCTCCGACAGGGAACAGCGTGGGATCGTGTTCGCCAGAATTCTGTACCGAGCTCATCCCGCTCAGGTCGGAGCGAGCAAAAACTCCGACGTAACTTAGTTTCCAAGGTCCGACCCTCGAACCTTAAAAACTAGGGGGCTTCTGTTATGCCCAAGGAAATAAAGGGCTGACGTGGGAAAGTCACGTGAAGGGCGACCTGCTCCCGTCAGAGTAGCACGCACACGTCAAACCTGCCAAGTGATGTGGAGCCCACACGCGTCCTTTTTCCTGCAACAAGTCGTGCGATGTCAGCTTGGAAAAAGGGAAATGGGACGTAAAGCCGGATTACCTCCTGACAAGCACACCAAACCATGGATTTAGTGATGATTATACGCTTCGGCTTAGTATAAAATAAGGAAGACCCCTTCATTAAGGGGATTCGGCCATTTTTCATATAGAAAAAGAAATCTCTCTCTCTTGTAAACTTTTCTTTGACTTTTTCGTCTGATGTAAGTCAGCTCGCGACTGCGATCTGACATCCACTAATATCAATACAAATCAGTGGACGTAGGACTTGCTACCTTAGCATCCGAACCACTTAAAAAACTCCCTCTACAGTTACTTCACTTTTCATATATTTCATTTTCGCGTGTATCGAACAGCCAATCAACATTATACACGTAAAAATTCGTTGGTGTAAAAATTTAGCATCAACAGGGATTGTGTGAAGATGCATGATCTGGTGAGAGACATGGCAGTGCACATTACTAGTCAGAGTCCTCGATATCTGGTAAAAGCTGGGATGCAATTGAGAGAGCTACCAACTGAGCATGAACGGACTGAAGGTCTTCAGAAGGTTTCTTTAATGCGCAACTGCATTTCAAAATTTCACTTAGATATGACACTTCCTAAGTTTACAGCACTCTCGACCTTGCTTTTGCAACATAATGGATGTTTAGAAGAGATTGATGACTGTGTCTTTACGCTCATGACTGAGCTTAAGGTTCTTGATCTTTCTTATTGTTATAATATCAGAAATCTGCCCAATTCTATTTCTGGCTTGGTAAAACTCACTGCATTGTTGCTTAATCATTGTGGTAATCTAGCACATGTGCCTTCTTTGGCAAAACTTGGGGCTCTGAAGAAGTTGGATCTTGGTTATACGGGTATTACAGCCATTCCTGATGGACTAGAGATGTTGGTACATCTCAGATATCTTGATCTTTATGCATACGGTATAAGAGAGATGCCTGGTGGAATATTACCAAAACTCTTCCGTCTTCAATACTTGAGGTTAGATAATGCAGTTGCAGAAGCAGAAGAAGTTTCAAGATTAAGCAAGTTGGAATGCTTGGGTATTCGTTTCAGAAATCTGCAAGAATACCACATCTACTTTTCTCTAAAACAACAAAGATGCCTCAATTACTATTCTTTTAATTCTGTAGGATTGGGATATTATTTTCTAGAAAGAAGAAGGGGAAAAGCGGTAGGAATTGGTGGATTGACAAACTTTGGAGACTCCATTAAGATACTGACTGACATTCGGAGGCTAGTCATTGCAGGCTGTGATGATTTGGGAAGGGTAAGCGATATTTCTTCTTTAAAGGATGCAACTGACCTGAGGACCTGCTGGATTTATTCGTGCAAACAGATGGAGTGCTTCTATTATTTGTCCTCTTACACAACTGCACTTCAGACCCTTGAGTATCTGTTTCTCGAGTATTTGGATAATTTAATTGCAATACTAGGAGAAGAAATAGACGGAGCTGAATCCACATTACCAACACCAATAACACCTGGAATCTTCTCTTGTCTTAAAACTGTTTTGATAGAGAGTTGTCCAAAATTGAAGAGACTGTTCCCGCAGAAGTTGCTGCGAAACCTACAAAACTTAGAAGAAATTGAAGCTTGGAATTGCTCAGGACTTGTGGAAATAGTAGAAGCATCAAGTGATGAAGAAGAAGAAGATAAGGAAGCAAGTAAGAATTCTGTCAAACTCTCTCTTCCAAATTTAAGATCTATCGCTTTGCAATTTCTACCGGAATTGAGGAGCTTATGTAAGAGTTGTTACGCAATCCATTGTGATTCCCTTAGAAGCATCTGTATAGAGGGATGTCCAAAGCTGAAGACGATCTCTCCCTTGTTTCCGCAACCTGACAATGGGCAGCCATTTCCTCCCGCCTCCCTTGAAAGTCTTGCAGTTTATCCAAAAGAATTCTGGAATTCACTGGAATGGGACCATCCCAACACGAAGAATGTCCTTGAACGCTTCCTTGAGTAGTCAAGTTAAAATAAGTTGATTACAAGGTTAGTTAAAATTAAGTATTTATTCTCTTTATAACAATGATTTAAATGGGTTTTTTAAGACTTTGCTTATTCATCTCTTCTTCATTGAATTTATAAAATTTACATTAATGGTTCATTGTTTAATTAGATAATAAGTTTAAAATGAATTAAGTTTAAACGGACTCACTTAATAACAACTTCGTCTTAGCATTTTTACCGTTCATCAATGAACAAAGAACAATTAAGAGCAATTTATGAAAAGTCTTTAGAAGTGTAAGAATTTCTGCAAGATTACTTTTAAACAACTTTGGTTTACTTACTGAATTAATTTTTATTGTAGCTATTTGTAATTCACAGAGAAATTGTGGCCATTATTCTAGACAGTGTCATGAAGACTTAAAAGTAAGTTTTCTTTCACTTTCCCTTTGTATCTCTTATTTATTTATTTATTTATTTTTGTTCTTTTATCATCTGATGCTTATTTTATTTTTCTTATTTAAATTTTCCAGGCAGGGCTGGTTGGCTAGATATTCCTTGCGCAAAGTCTTTTTCTTCTATATTTATTACCATCTTTTGTAATGTAAAGTTTGTTTATCGATGTGTTTTCTTCAATTTACTGTACCATGAAGAAACAAGTATGTGTGTTTTCCTTAATTCATTGAACTATGAAGAAGCAAATATGTGAAGGTTTTACCATTGAAAGTGTTTGGAGTCAGAATGCAATAGCAAAAGATGGTCAAACGAATACAAACAACATTTAATCTAACAACTTACAAAAAAAAAGAGAATGGAAGATGAAACTTAATTTTGTAAGAGAACATATCAACTCTCATTTGGCAAAACAAGGCGATCTTGACCGAATTAGCTTTACGGAATGAATCACATCCCTTGTTTTTATTTGTGGTAGAATTTCTCTCCCCATTGTTGTGTATCTGTGTATCAAAATAGGATACAAGACAAACATAAATATTCTACCATACCAAAAAATTGAAATAACAAAACTTGTGGCATTTTATATAAACATATTAAAGGTTAAGGATATTACCCAAAAACTGAAAATTGCCCTTCATCAAAAGATAGCCCCCTAAACCAGCCTACAGAAGAAGTAAATAACAATATAAGTCATAACTTGGATAGATGGAAATCCAAGAGCATGGAGAAAAAGAAGGATAATGATAAGACAAGAGTGTATGATACAAGTAAAAAAATTAGGCTTCTATTCACCATCTTCAATCTGTAGTAAAAAAAAATAATAAAAAAAAGAGCTCGGTTATAATATTGATTTTAACAAAGAGCTACAATCACTCACATTTCTTTTATCATATAGATAGAAGAAAAACTGATATGGCGCTGAGAACTCGTCACGGACTTCACTATGTGCCATAGCAATGGCTCCATAAATTGATAGTCGAAGAATTGGCAATTCCCCATCCTTTGAAGCAAAAATAATAGACTGAGAATAGTTAATCTAGAAATATTAAGCAAATTCTAGCTATAATAGATGATGCACCTGCACGCTTAAGGTTGTTTTGTACAAATTGCCCAGATAACTTTATTTCCAAAGGAACACTATAACCGCTGTTCTTTTCAAGACTGCTGTCTGTCAGAATGGCTTGTTCAGTGCAACTAAGTCTTGTCTTGTCATATGCTCCATCAATCACCTGAAAATTTGTCAAATAGCTTTGCCTATTTATCAAGAGAGAATGTATAGTCCAATAATTCTAAGCTTTCCATTCAAGGAAAAGAACAATAAAATTTCAAAAAACATCGTTTAGCACATTAGAAGAAATCCATTGATTAATCCTCAACAAAAAGATCTAAGTCAATAACAAAGCTTTGTTATGAGAATTTGATTACTTTCCCAGTTATAATTACACGTAAGTTTTTGGAGAAGCTAAAGGAAGAAATGAAATGACGCGACAACAAATTTCATTTTCTTTTACTGTTTTTGAGCAAGTTGTATTCTTTGAAAATTTACCAATTTGGTCTTGTGTAGTTAATGAGTCAAAGCATTTTATCCATTGTTTATCAGATCAAATGCAATTGTAAATTTCCTCTATATTCATTATTATGATGCATCATTTAATTATAACAAGGACAAAAATAGAACGCATAGGATAAAGAATGGAAAATCAAGATTATGTGATTCATGTACAGAGAGCATAATGAGGCCAAGGTGAAGTTCAACTACCTTACTAGTTTTGCGATATTCCCAACCATTAGTGGTGCTGAATACCCATCTAGAACAACCTGACACTACAAGAAAATTGGTTTTCCGCATCTAACAAAATTAGACACCGTTAATAAAACTTAGACACTAAATGCATTCCAAGTCTAAATTTCGTAGTCGTCACGTAATTGCAAAATCATTGTCGTAGAAAGTATGAGCGTCTAAAAAGTAGGTTAGACGCGAAATTTTTTTTTTTTACGACTAGCAAATTGGTCGCTAATTGCTGGTTGAAAAAGTCCCTCTGCTTAGACGTTAAATGTGCAAGAGTAATTTAGTAAAATTGCATCGTGACTAATCAATTAGTTGCAAAATATGCCTTATAGTAACTAATAATTTGTCACAAATGCCACGAAAATTAGACGCTGAAGGTGTAAAGGTAAATTCATATAACTTTTTTACGATTATTTTATTAGTGAAAGAATGTATCTTTTAATGACAAAAATTTAAAGGTTAATTTCAATCATTTTAGATACTGAATGTAGAATCCAAATATGATAAATTACTTTTTACTACTATGAAATTAGTTGCAAAATGTGTTTTTTTGTGAGAAAATAATTAGTGGCAAAAACATTTCATTTTTAGTGAGAAAATGTATACACCCAATTTGGTTTCTTACATTTTGTAACTAATGTTTAATCATTAAAATGAATTTTTTGCATCTAAAAAATATAGTAACCGATTGTATATGAGTTTTGGAAACTAATTATTTTAGTTAGATATTATTTATTAGTCCATGATGCTATATTATTCCTACAACTAATAATTTAATAGCTAATTGGTTAACATTCAAGAGCATAATTTTTGCTCTTTGTAAATGACCTAGTTTATACATTCAACATCAACAAAATAATTGACACAATATAAAAATCTGATCACGAACATCAAATATCATATTTTCATATATATATATAGAGTCCATACATGGACTTTTATGCATGATGAGCAATAAAAATCCAAAATGCACTATTCTTACTATGCATAACCAAAAAATAAAGTATGCACCCCACATTTTCATCAGTGGCTATCTATCGGTGCATAACTAACAAACAAAATGTTCACCCCATGTACACCATCTAAAAGGATATATGCAAGCAATCCTAAAAAGTCCAAAAAGATGGTCCTACCCCCATGTCAAAATATTTGCTGCCCATATAACAAAAAACTAACCATCAATATTGTTAGCATCTCAAGTGTCACTAGTTGAGGTTCATGAAATAGCACTAACAGATGAGGAAGACGTTTCATCAGTTGGAGATACATGAAGAACTGAAAATCAAAAAGGCAGATGCTACACTCCAACTTCTGCAAACAGGGCATGTAGTAACCGCTTTTACTAGGACCTTGACCTTTCCGCTAGAAGCAATCACTTGAAAGTAAAAGTATGTGCTAATTGATCTAGAAGTAATCACTTCTAAGTAATGAAAGTTGTGCTTAAGTAATGCAGATGACCTTTGTGTAGGCGGATAACCAATCATTTTGTAAGCAGAATAACCCATTCCAGGCATGTGAACGCTGCCAAAACCTGCTAGTGCCCAAGCGTGCAAAACATGTGCAATGTGAGCATCTATAAGGATGTGTCCTTCGTGTGACTAAGTAATTAATTTGTAGTCCAAGTGAGAGATTAGACAAGCACCAGCCAGCTCATATAAAACAAATGAATGAGAGCAAGAGAGAGATTACAAACATTATTAATAGGCCTAAAGTGAGCCAAGAAAAGAAACTGTTTAAACAAGCAACCACAAGGTAATCTGACACAAACTAATTAAATCTAGGCAATCCACCCACCAGAGTCAGAAGAACCCCTTGAAAATGTGGAGGATGCTCTTGCCTTCTTATTTGAGCCACTCCATTCATCATTTAATAGTAATAACCAACGAGTACACATGACGTCACCGAACAACCAAAATATATAACAGAAATCAAATCAAATTTTAAGGGAAGATATTCAACAAGCTACAGACCTGTTCTTGAGCGCTTAGGTCGGGAACTAGATTTTACAAGATCAATATATAGGATTGATCCTTTCTTAAGATCAAACACCATTCCCTGTAAACAGAGGAATGCAAACTAAAATTAATATATCTCATGCTCTGAAGCACTGCAAAACAGCAGTGGGTATCCATGCACACGTTTTTTAGTACCAAGTGCCAAAGCCCTGTCAACAACATCAAGAATGAACAAAATAATTTGACCTACAGCAGATTCAAATCACACAATCTTCAAGTGTTTTGCCTAATGCTTTCTGTACTAGTTTCTCTGATTTTTCTAAGGATCAGGCATAAAGGTAAATCCTCTCTGTTACACTTCAGACAAAAATGAAAACACAAAAGAAAATAGATGGAATTTTGGCGGATAGTATATGGATTGGAAAAGTCCATAAATTTTACTGAACCATAACTGTAATCCATATTGCAGATTTATGTAACAGAACAACTTTTAAGAATAACTTGGGCACATGCATGAGTTTCAGTTGATGCTTATTTTCCTGTAAATGACATCATTAGCATAGACAAGTGCTCTAAGTCTAAACATATAGACAAAGAAGCCTCCATCAACAGATTATATTTGCCCAATCTGATTAGTTTACTGCTTACATCCCTTAGAAATAACATAGCTTATAGATACTACTCACAACATCTAAAGCATGATAATGGCCAATAAACCAGTATCAATATGGTTCTATTTAGAAAAGATAATGAACTAGCAGATCCAGAATTTGGCACCAATTCACAAGTTATCAAAAAAAAATTCAAGTATCATTGAGAACTAATTATTATGTCAAAATGCAATGCCAATACATGAAAATACATCAGCTTCGGGAAATTTTCCTAAACACTCAAAAGTTGATTGTAAAGGAAGCTACATGTATCATGTTCTTCATTCACAACCAAAACAAGGAATAACAGTAAAACTCCATGATGGAATAACTAAATCGAACAATCCTCACCTGTTTAGTTTCGTCGGATTTTGATTTACAAAAGAGAAGTGGCTTATTCCTACACGATGAAACAAAAATCAGTAACAAAACATAACAATATTAACCAGACGACGTCAAATTGAAAAAGACAAGAAACGAATCCTTACCTAAATCGAAGAGCGTGTTATGGGTTTGAGTTTAGATGGTGTCG